CCAAGGTTCCATTTAGATGCCAGGAAGCACTTCCTGACAGTTAGGACCCCGAGGGTGTGGAATGGGCTTCAACGAGATGTCGTTGAGGCCCCATCAGTGAGGGTGTTCGAAGATAGACTGGACATGCACATGGTGGGCATGTCGTGAGCGGAGCTGGCTGAAGCTGGGGGTCAGACTAGATAGCCCGGGAGGCCCCTTCTGGCTCGCTCTATTTCTATGTTTCTGTCCCTGGGGAGAAAATACATTTATAATACTGTATATAATTTTTTAAAAAATTGCATCCCTTTTATAACGTCCCCAGCCCTGAAATTCAGTTCTCATGCAGAATGTTTTGGTGTCACACCATTTTAATGAAGTGTTTAATTTTGTCTGTATGATTACTATCTGATTCACTGCTGCAAGCTAGCCTGGAATTTTGATCAAAGAAGGCAAAGTGGGATGGGTGATGGACAGTGGCTGAGTCTGAAAGCCAACAAGGGGGAAAGATACTGAGGATATCAGAAAATACAGAAAATATTCTCAAGCACCCAAAATTTTTTAATAAGTCCACTGCCTTTTCAAAGCACATTTCCATTCTCTCTTCTTTCTCCATGTATCTTCTGCAAACTCTTGATAATGCTTCCGCAGGTGCCTGAGGACACAGTGGTATCCATGCCTCCCCCCCCTCCCCCGCCTAGGTTTCTGTTGGCCGGATCTGCTTGAGGAAAGAGCAACAGAAGTTAGCAAGAGAGAAATAACAGATAGAACAGGAGGCAGAGTGAGAAAGAGGCAACCAATGAAGCCTGAGCTCCAGGAAATTAAAAGCCTCTCAAAGGACTGCAGTGCCTTTGGCATCCTGGCCAAAACAGACATTACTTTAAATACCTGTCTGGAAATGATGTCTTTTCCTTTCTTTGCCTTTCATTTCATCTTTACTGTAGAGTATGTGTTGCTGCCCTGATTCAGATCAATCCCCTAGTGTGTGTCAGGGGGAGGGGGCTTTTGAATGCCACATTAGGCCCACTGTGCCTACTCTAGAGTAAACAAACAAGCAAAGGACATAGCAGCTAGAATTAGGTTAACATAAAGTCTGAGAAAGTGGATCTGCTGTTTGTAAGAGTGCTATTCTGTGTGACTGCACTTAGATTCAATTTGTATATTTGTACATAAACCTAAATATTACAAAACTACCATAAGCCTCCTTCCAAAATGATTTTGGAGTAGAAGTGTGTTGCAGTGGAAGAGCCGGGTCAGCATGCTTTGAATAAATGATTAAATCTTTCCTTCCAGAGAGCAAATCCAGGTAAGGACATGTCCTGAATCTGTGAAGCTCTCTGTTTAGGAAAGCCAGCCAAGTCTCCTCCATGCAGGTTTTTATAAGATTTGTTTGCAAAACAAAGCAAAACCCTTTTTCATAAGGCCTTAGATGCATTGCAGAATTCTGCTCTATGGTTTCCTTGCCCTTGTATCATTTGATACTTAATTTAGAAGTGTTAATGGCACTTCTAAATTTGTTTGTTGAGCTGTTGTGGGAAAACCTGGGGTCTGAAAACTGTATGCGACCTCTTGTAAGATACCATGCTCTACTGTTTTTCTTTCAGAGAAAGAAATCTCAGGAGTGATTGCTTTCAAAAACTCTTATTTATACTTACGGTAATTAAAATAGCATCACTGTGACTATTGCCATTATTATTAAGTAGAAGGACAACTTACTTTAAGCAGAAAGTCCGTAAGATGATCTGAGAGAAGGGGTTCCCAAAGTGGCATCCACAGGTGCCTCCAACTGTGGCTACCAGGAAGTCCCCAAAGTTGTGCTTAAAGGCACCCAAAGTGTGTGTGTGTGTGTGTGTGTGTGTGTGTGTGCGCGCGCGTGCGCTTATTTATTTATTTATTTATTTATTTCTATATGCATACATATATTTGCAGGAAACGCATACAGCTCTCTAGCAGTTATACAAAGGTTTCGGCAAAAGTGGGCCAAATATCCAAATAAGTGTTCATTTTAAGTTTGTTCCTATATGCCACCCATTCATATATCAAAGCAGTGCAAGGTCTTTAGTCCCTTGCATTACAGGAAGCAAATGCTATCCTTCTATTGTCCTAATATTCAGCTGTCATGAGGGTATAGAGAATTTGTTTTCCTTTCCATTTCAATGGATGTAAAAAATGAAAGAGTGTGTGCATCAGTGAACATTATGGGATTATCACTGCAAATAGAAGTCTAATAGATTAAATAAATAAATATGAAATATTTTTCCTATACAAGATTTATCTCTGCAATAAAAGCAACAACTACTGCATTTTGCTAAAACACACGTTTTAAAGAAGCATTCATTTTATTACAGTTCCAGCAATTAATGGAATCAGACAAACCCCTTATTAAAGCAATGTTGCAGTGGCAAACAAACATGAAACCATTTAAAAAAAAAATCAGATGCAACATAAAACCCATAGGCATGACAGATGCCAAAGCAGAGAGATCCATGAATAAACATCTTTGTACTGGTACTCAGAGCAGTTTCTCAAATTCCCAAATGAATCGATGGGTCCGAAAGGGATGGGATCCCAGCCCTAGACTGTTTGATGTTCATGAGTGTAGACCTGTTGCTTAAGGAATCACTGTTTGTGTTTTTATTGACTATCCTAACTGCTCTGTTTACATGGAAAATGTCACAGAACTTTTGCCTCTCTCTTCCTTCTTTCCATTCTTGAACATGCACACTTGGCCGTAGGTCATTCTTTAGATGTTTGTCATAGCTCTGAAAAAGTATTGTGAATTGTTACTATGCCACGTCAGACGCCATAAGCAGGCTATAGTGAGGCTTAAAACCAGCCATGCATGTTGTTGTTGTTAGAAATGAACACTCCTGTTGTGACAACTCATCATGTTTTGGATTTCCAAAGATGCCGTTTCATGAGATTTTCAGCTGGTTATGTGTTCGCAATTCTAAAAGCATGTCCAGTCAGCTACCAAACAACCATCCCCATTTGTGAACAGTGGTGCCTGTCGAAACATTTTTGCTTTTTAAAAACTACCTTGCTGTGTGCAAACAGGGCAAGCAGATTGAGGCTGGAGCAGTAAATCTACTCTTCTCATCTGCAGTGCTCCTGATCTGGGTCAGGGAATGTGCATGCTTGCTTTGGAGTAAAGAATAAAATAAAGGGGGACCTACATTTTAATTAATAAGTATAACACATATAGGTAGTTTGCTACTTGCTTACTTATCATTAAGTACCATTTTCCGGATGAAAAAATAAACAGGGAACAAATGTACTCCTCTCATCTTTTGTGGTTGTCCTTAGCTGCAAGGCAGAGAGAGAAATGTTAGCAAAAGCACTGTGGGTGGGTGGGGGGAACTATATTAAGACATTTGCATAGATATGACCAATATCTAATTTTGGACTTGAATGAAGTGGGTGGTCTCCTGGACAAAATAAACCACAATATACTCATACAAATATTACTCCAAACACACATTAAAAAGAAGAAATGTATCAGAAGATCAATTTCAATTGCATATGCTAATTTACATGTAAACATAGAAACAGCGCGAACCAGAAGGGGCCTCCCGGGCCATCTAGTCTGACCCCCGGCTCCAGCCTGCTCCACTCACGACATGCCCACCATGTGGATGTCCAGCCTATCCTTGAACACCTGCACCGATGGGGCCTCAACGACCTCTCGTGGAAGCCCACTCCACACCCTCGGGGTCCTGACTATCAGGAAGTGCTTCCTGGCATCCAAATGGAACCTTGGCTCCCTGAGCTTTGCTCCGTTGGAGTGCGTTCTGCCTTCCTCTGCAGGGGAGAACAGGTCTCTACCCATCTCTGTGTGACATCCCCTCACATACCTGTATGTCGCCAACATATCCCCTCTGAGATGACAGTTTTGAAATGATTAGGCTAATTGAAAAAGCAATACAATAGATCTTATTGTGGTGGGAGAACTGTGTGCATTATGTACAGCGTGCAATCCAGGCGATAACTGTTGAGAGGCCCGCCAAGGACTCTAATTTCCCTCATTAAAGTTCTTGATTTTCAAACTGGCCTCTGAGCTAGTGGTGATTGACCAAGATAAAGATCTTGGGGTTTGGTGAAAATGTCATCCCAATGTCATTTCTGTAATAAAAGCAAATCCCATATTATGAGTATGCATAATTAGGAAAGCAATCAAAATAATACTGCCAATATCATCCTACCCTTATACACATCTCTGGTGCAATCACACTGAAAATTTATGTACAGTTCTGGTCACTGTGCCTAAGAAAGGAAATTGCAGAGTCACAAATAGAGAAGCTAAAATTATTGACCCTGTTGCAAAAGATTACTATGACTGGGACTATTTGGACAAGAAAAAAGTGAATAAAAATAAGTATGTTAGGGGTTTACAAAATCATGCAGTGTGTGAAGAAAACTGATGGGGAAATTTTTGACAGAAACCAGGGTCCCATAATCTCATGATGCTACCTGGTTGGATAGTCAGGACAGGCAAAAGGAAATACTTCTTACACACCACACAGCGAAAGTGTGGAATATGCCACCATAAAATTTAGTGAAGGCCACCAATTTGGATGGCTTGTAGTGGATGCAGTGTATAAAGAAACAGAGCCTTCCCAGTGTCAGCTATGCCAAATGTCCAGCAGTTTTCCTTAAGAAAAGGAAAAAAGCAGACCCTTTTCCACATAAAGAAATGAACCTTTCTGTTTGTGAAATGTAAAAATGTAATTAACCATTTATGGTCAGATTATTGTACAACGTTGCAGCTAATATATTGCAGCGAATGTAACAAATCGTTATTTGTTTTTCGGCACCAGGCGAAGACCTTTTTATTTAAGCGTTATGTTAATTGTTAATATTATTTATTTATTTTATTCTTTGGCCAGGTCGACTCAAATTATATTGTTTTTATATTGTGATTATTTATTTATTGTTGTGAGCCGCCTCAAGGCTTCGGCAAATGGGGCGGCATAGAAGCTTCCTAAATAAATAAATAATAGTCTTTTTTTCTCCATTTCTCACAGGATATATGTGAAGATATCTCTGATCACGTCGAACAAATCCATGCTCTTCTGGAGACTGAATTTTCCCTGAAGCTTCTGTCTTACTCTGTAAATGTGATTGTTGACATCCATACAGTACAGATTCTTTGGCACCAGCTTCGAGTTTCTGTCCTGGTTTTGAGAGAGAGAATTCTTCAGGGATTGCAGGATGCCAATGGGAATTACACCAGGCAGACTGATATTCTCCAAGCCTTTTCAGAGGAAACAAAGGAGGTATGGCAAGTGAATGTAAGAATTTACTTTTTGAACTCTAATCCTTAGTTGTGTTTGCACATCCAAGCTCTTAAAAGAATCCACTTAGTTCTGCTACCGCTACAGCCTACACTCAGTTCTGGCAATTCAAGCTGAGCCGAGTTCCCAGGGCTGCCCGTCAATTTATGGGCAATGCTGTCAATCTTAAATTAGTGCTGCAATCATGAATTCAGAGTGACTGAACTAGTTTAAATAAGGTGTGGGATTGTCAAGTTCACTTCAAAGTGGCAATGCCAGGAGGAAAAATGTCAAATGATTCTAGAGCCAAACCTGAAAGCCACCTTAACCTAAGTTGTCAAGTAACCTTTGCTTTGTTTTGTGTGTTTGCTTTGCTGTGTGGCTTGCTTACATTCTGTGATTAGCACAGAGAATGGGTGTATCAATCATAACATTTCCCTTACTGGAAAGTTACAGGTTCACATTAGCAACACCGGTAGAAGAAGCTTTTAAATTCACATTTTCCCTGTGATGGCACAAATGTGTATGCAGTCATTATAGGCTGGATTCTCGTGAAGCTCTAAAAACATGTGCTATAATCTAATTTAAATCATGTAATTTATTCAAAGTGGAATGTGTTCTGCACCACAGTGTTGCATTCCATTCCTATGGATACATTTCATTCTTGGAGTACCTTTGATCAGCCATAATAGCCTATCCCGACATAATCAGTATCACAACTTTTGGCATTTTATACTGAGGAGATCCCACATCAAAATTGACATAGAAACTCCCTGTGAAACTTGTTGTTCAAAGACCAGTTAAAACATGGTGGTTGCAGCTCAGAGATTGCTGAAAAGCACACAAGAATGTCACACCTACATGCTAGTTTGACATTTCTTGTGCTGTAGAGGATTGACATGGGAACCTACATGGATACTGCTACTTAAATATTGTGCTAGCTATCTGGGTCAGTTCCAATTAACCAGGAAACCTTAGATTCTGAACTTACTGGTCTCATGTGGACCCGCTTTTAGAGAGATGGATGCTAAACACATTTTCTTGAGAATAACCACTATTGTATTGTACAAACAGAAAACAATTTTTCAAGGAACTACATAACATGCCCACTCAGCTGCACCATTATGGAATGGTTTTAGAATTAAAAAGAAAGGATATCACAGCAAGTAGTATTGGTCCCACTGAGCCCTGACCTGCCCATGACAGCCCAGGTGCTGCAGGTTGGTTTGTTTTCCGCTACTGCCAACATCAGCATCTCTCAGGATGGCATTTAGGCCCCCACTAGGCTGTTGGGCCCTGGATTTACCCCGAATCTGGCCCTAGCTGGATGACAGTACAGGATGGCAACAGGAATGACATCGGTGCTTCTTGGTCATCTTTATGTATAATTCACTTTCATACAAGGTTCCTTCCCTTGCATAGTGTTGCATGGAATAAAGTCTGTAAGAAGCAGAAAGTATTATTGCAAATCTGTGTTGCGCTCTCTCTCTCTCTCGCTCTCTCTCTCTCTGCATGTGTGTATATATTAACTAAGTATCATATAATACCTTTTGAGCTCCTAATTGGAGAATTTTACATTCTGATGCCAAGAGAGATATTGCCCTTACTTGCTCCCAGTTCCAGTGCACATGAATAGAATGCAGGCAAAGCCAACTGAGGCTGCAGTAAAAAATTTGGATTTTCCTAAGCATGGAGCAGAACCAGAAGGATGTTGTGCTTTGACAGGATCAAGTCTTTTGACAACATCAAAGGAGCTCCTTGTTCAGATTCCAGAATTTGAATTTTAAATCCAGTCTCCAGGCAAAAACATAGCAAGTTCAAACTCATCTTTAGATCTGCCATTTCATTTACTCACTGCTATCAAGAGCCTGATTCGAGTGAAGGTAAACACTGAGCATGGAAGATTTGCACAGATTCAAACCTGTTTTCACAAACTCTTGCTTCTTCTATGTCAGTCTTCCTCAGACTTGTGCTATCCGGATATCATGTAGGCTGGAGAATGCTGGGGAGTTTTAGTCCAACACACCTGCAGGACACCTGCTGGGGGAAGGCATTCTGTGTTTCCATTGACTCACCTATCAATAGGATAGCAAGTTACTAAGATTGTGTCCTGTTCACTTAGTTATTTTTGCAAGACTACCCCCCCCCCCTTTTATTGCTACCAAGTGGTAGCTTTTAAAACGTTTACTCTCAGAGGTGGCACACTTGGTAAAGGCAATGGCTAGCTGACACAAAAGATGCTCAGAAGAACATGGGTGGTTCTTACATGAAGACCAGCAGACATGCATAGGCCAACCCCTTTCCTCTCCTGCCTCCATTTCCTGTCTTATACCTGTCTAGCCTGCTGCTGTCACAGATCTGGTTTTGACTAATATGCCATTTTACTAGCGTAAACGCATTGGTTTTAATAAATAATTTGCCAGGAGTACCTCTAGGCCTGCATGGTCAAGACAAAGCTTCCTAGATGAATACAATTTGGTCTTCCATGCCAAAACTATTTCCCAAGCAGCAGATACAAACAAGATTTGACAATCATTTGTGAAGATATTGGTCATTGTCCCAGGGCAAGAAAATTAGTCTAGCCTGGCGCCTGAGCTTAGCAAGGCTTTTGTCTTCTAAGAGGATGTGTTGCACTGCAGAAGCAGCCGCACCTTTCTTCCTGGTTGCCTGGCAGAGTTTTGCAGAGTGCCTTTGCCAATTAGAAGGCCTATTCTGAGAGATTTCTGATTAGTCATACACTTGGGGCAAGAACACATTATATTATATTGTATTAACAAAGGGCTCATGGCACCCAGCTGACTTTTTGTCACTCCTGATGTTTAAAAGACATTCCTTTTAATTAAACACTTAAAACTTCCTAGGATGGTACATTCTGCAAAATGAGGCTTCAGCCTGCAGATCCATCTTTATTACTGTGAGTGCCTGTGGTTCCCTCATAGGCACCAGTGGGATTCAGTGAGCACCTTCTGTGAAATGGGCAGCAGAACAGACACCTAGTTTCAAAAACAAGTAGTTTTCTGGTTTGGAACTCATACAGCACTTCTTCTTTTTCTTGGGCTCCTGGGCATGTTACTTTTCAGTATAACATCTGGGAAATAGATATTTAGCCACTGATTGTACCCACCGTGAAAGCCATTTTGTGGAGTTGTTCACAGCACTGCCAAGATTCCAGATGTGCCCCCTGGCCAAAGGTGCTTGGGAAACCCTGGTAAGGGTTGCATTAAACATTGCTTCTTTATGGCCAACTGACCACTTCTTACCATGTGGCTCAGTGTGGGGATATATATCTTTTGGGGGTGGGAACAGGTTGCATTAGCAGGGCTCAGCTCTACAGACTGCTTCGTCTGCTTTGTTGTGGCCCTGAGTCTGAGTTCCTGGCAAGCAGGCCCAGTGCTTGCAGGGCACTTGCTAGGAATTGAGCAAGCAGCATCTCTCTTCCATAGCACACTCAGCAGCCTTTCTTTGTGCTGCTGCACCCTGACATGGTGCCCAGAACTGCAAGCATTTGCAGACTTCCTCTCACTTTCCAAGACCGGGCCAAGCATGAGAGGAAGTCTGCAAATGCTAGAGAGGTGGATTCCACTGGGTTTTGTCCACACCTCACTCAGGAACTTCAAGCTGCAAATAACAGAATCAATAGAACTTGAAGGGGCCAAGAAGGCCATTGGGTCCAATCCCCTGATCAATGCAGGACTCCAGGTTAAGGTATCCCCAAGAGATGGTTGTTCAGGTACGCCTTGAATGCTTCCTGTGTGGGAAAGACTATGACCTGCTTAGCTAATAGGTTCCACTGCCGTGCAGCTCCAACTGTCAAAAAGTTTTTCCCGATGTCCAGACAGAATCTGGTTTCCTGTAACTTAAGCCTACTATTCAATGTTCTGCACTCTGGGATCATTGATAGGCCATCTCTTCCCCTTCTCTGTATGACAGCCTTACAACTATTTGAAAAGTGCTATCATGTCTTCCCTCAGTGTTCTCATAGTCAAACATGCCCAGTTCTTTCAGTCGCCTCACAAGGCATTTTTTACCAGTCCCCTAATCACCTTTGGTTCCCTACCCTGAAATCTTTCCCATTTGTTTGTACTTTTCTTAGGCTGTGGTGCCCAGAACTGGCTGCAACACTTAAGATGGGGCCTAAGCATGCTGAGCAGAGGTGAACCATGCTGAATACGTTGCACAGTTTAGAAGTGATGCATCTATTAATGCGGCCCAAAATAGCATTTGCCATTTTTCAGCCACAACAAATTACTGACTCATACGCAGCTTGTGATCTACAACAATCCTTCCTTCTTGTAGTATTGTTGAGCCAAGTACCCCACCCCATTGTAACTATGCATTTGGCTTCTTTTTCCTGGGTGCAGAAGTTCAGTCTGTTGTTTTCAGTCCAGGGTTTCAGCCTGTCAAGATTACTTTGAATTTTCTTTCTGGCCTACAAGGAATTAGCTGTCCCACCCATAATGTGTCATCTGCAGCTCTCTAAGCACTGTGTTCAACTACTTGTCTAGATTATCAATAAACCTGTCAAGGGACATTGGGTTCAGGAGCGAATGCTGCAGTACCCACCTTTCCCCAATTTGAGAAGGTGCCATTGATTAGCATGCATTGCAATTCTGTAGTCTATTGAGGATCCACTTTTTAGTTGTATCCAGCCCACTTGTAGTTGGCTTGCAAATCAATATATTATAGGGTACTTTTTCAACAGCTTTGCTGAAGTCATAAACTTTGCTGAAGATATATTATGTCCACAGCATTCGTACAATTCACTAGGGAGGATATACAAAATGGCTTCAGACTAGTCTGGCAGAACGTGTTCTCAAAAAATCTGCATTGGCTTCTAGTAACCACTGCATTGCTTTCAAGGTGTTTGTAAACTGACTGCAATACAATATGCTCCAGAATTTACCATGGATTGATGTGAGACCAAAATGATCAGTAGTTCCCAGGCTTCTTCTTTTGTCCTCTTTGTGAAAATAGGGACAACATTGACCTTCCTCCAGTCATCTAGCTCTTCATCCATCTTCCATGATTTCTTGAAGACAGTAGACAGTAGTTCTTCCACCAGTTCCTTTATTACTCTGAGAAGCTGTTCTTTGGGCCATGGAGATGTGAACTCATTCAAAATAATGCGGTGCTCCTTGACTACTCTCCTATCAATCTCAAGCTGTAATCTTGCCCTTTAGCTTGTATGTCACCTTTGCCAGGGAGGTCATAGACCCTCTTCTGGGAAAAGACTGAATGAAAGTAGAAATTGAGCACCTCTGCCTTTTTATGTCATCTGTTATAATTTTGCCATCCTCATTGAGCAGTTGAACAATTTCTTGCTTCTGTATTTTACTATGCATGTATCTGAAGAAAGCCTTTGGTTGCTTTTAGCATCCTTCACTCCAGTCTCAGCTTTAGCCTTACTGATGGCATCATTTATTCCTGAATAAAATGGATATCCATATTGTGTGCAGTAGCCCTGAGGGTCCAACTAGACTTGTAACTACGTATCTTATTTTTCCTTAATATATTACTTAGGGATCTTATTAGAATACACAATGTAAGGAGGATACCAGAAAATACTTTTTGTCTTGGGGTTCTATTCACATGCAGAGAGAGGTTTTACCAATCATTTTGGAGTGGGAAGTGCTAAGCTTCATCTCCTGTCACATTCTATGCCAAGTAAGATTCTCTACCTCTGCATGTAATTAAGGGAAACAGGATGATCAATGAATGTTATACATCTCACTCTTGATATTTAATAGTTTTGCAACCTAATAAATTAGGAGGGAGGGAAGGAGGGAGGGAGGGAGGGAGGGGAAGAAACTAAAGTGAACAAAACTGGATTTTGAGTGTAAGTTCTATCCAATAAAATTTCTACAGCTAGAGATGATTGCAATGAAAATATTTTCCTTTCCTCTCTATTCTTTGTATTTTAATAGGTTTTAGATAAAAGTATAAACATATTCATACAAGCTATTATAAATTATAAACAGTAAAAATACAGCAAACAAAAATGCATAGATTAAGGGAAATGTGTACAATAATGTATCCATTATCTACATATCTCGTCTAATGTGAGTATTTGTACATGCATTTCTCATTATTAAATTTCACTGGATTGCAGTCAGGAATAATTATATATTTGAGTCATGAATCTATACATTTTAATAGAATTACAAACTGATTAATCTCAAGTTTCAGAGGTATCACTAAATAAAAGCAGCAGCCTTTAAACTAAGGCTGCAATCCAGTGGTTTCTAGAAAGTCATTCCACGGATTTTTGGATATTAGGAGCTTCCATCTCCATGGTTGGAAATCAAGGTCCACCCATGATGGTCTTTCCTGGACAGAGGTGGAATTTTCTGCCAACTTGATTGCCCTGTCAGTGGTTCTCCACTAGTGGTAGGGGGGAAATGGGGCAGCCTGGGGACATTTGAAGTCTGCAGGATCTTAGAGTCAGCTAACATGCTCACCCCAGTAGAACTAGAAACAGTGCCAGCCAATAAGTTTGCTCCCACTGGAGGCAGTAGAAGGAGAAAAGCTCTCCCACCCTTTCTGTCCTTACTTAGAAATGTGCAGTTATGTTTCAAAGCCCTCTTCCTTGGCCTGATGTCTGTTAGCCATGAACTTACATTCTTAGTATTACACCAAAATAATAATCAATAAAACAATATAGTCTTAGAAAACCTTCAGGAGCCACTTAATGGAAATATTTTGTCTGTCCCCCAACTCCCCTGGATTTTCCAAGGAAATGATTATAGGAGAAAACAGCATCTGTAAAAAGAAGTCTTGGTTTAGATCTGAAGTTGCCTGCTCCCTCAGTTTCTTCCAAATACCCCTAGTGCTGTGAAATCCTGCACTACATCTCATGCTGTGCCAGATTTTTTTGATCAACAGGAGTGACTTTTCAAGGTGATATAGGCTGGGGAGCACAGTGAGAAAGACGGCTGGGAAAGCCTGTTGCAAAAGTAGAGTTCTGATCAGATGAATTATGATTTGTCTATCAAGAGCAGCAGCATCAAATATTTAATGACAGCCTGATTGTAATACTTGTTTCAGTGTGGCTGCACTGAACTTTCTGTTATACTGACATCCCAAAGATTGTTATCGTGGCATAGGATCCAGTTGCTCCCAGTGGATATGCCAGGGCAAATGGTTAGGTTTCTGATTGATTATGTTATTCTTAATTATTCCATTAATTTAAGTATTATGCAATTATATAATATCAAGAATTATATTAATTCTTAATATTATAAGAATTATTTCATTGCAGCACATCTATTTTCAGTGAGGTGATATAAAGTAATGTGACAATCTTGTTTTTAAGAATGATATTCTTGTTCTAAAGAGCAAGGAAGAAAACTACACCCAATTCTGCATTTGTTATGTTTAATATTATTATTTATTAATTTACAGTAATGACTTATTGCCTTTCCACAAATGTCAACAAGATAGTGTACAAAAATCCAGATGAAAAAACAATTTAAATTATGTTTAGTGTTACAGGTTTTTTGTTTGTTTGTTTAATGATAGAATCCATCTCCAGCTCATAGGAGTGATACCATTTTTCAAAACAAAACCAAACAAAATGATACAATTAACAAAAGCTTTCCTGTTTCTGTTTTGTCACAGGACCGGCTTGACTCATTAACAGAAGTGGATGACTCAGGACAGCTAACCATCAAATGTTCTCAAAATTACCTGTCGCTGGACTGTGGAATTACTGCATTTGAACTGTCTGACTACAGCCCTAGCGAGGACTTGCTTGGTGCTCTTGGTGACATGACCTCTGGTCAGGGCAAAGTGAAACCATTTGAGACCTGGAGCTGCAGTGAAATGGAAAAAGACTTTCCAGAGCTCATCAGAAGTGTGGGATTACTGGCAGTAGCAACAGATTCAATTGCTTCCAAATGTAATGAAAGTGTTAATACAAAAGAAATCCATTTACCTTTCTCAGCAGACCAGCAGGAGGAAGGCCAGGGTTTCAAAGCATCATCTACTGTATCCACTGAACATTCACTCATGCAGATTTCTGGGAATTCATCTCTTGGTAAAACATCCTGCATTGAGGATTCTGTGGTATCAATTGATGCTGAATTAGTGAACCAAGAGCTCCGACCATTGCCCTCCAGTGATGCAAAAAACAAATCGCAGCCTCACACTGAAAACTCAACTCCCAAGAGATCAATACGAGACTGTTTTGATTACAATGAAGATTCTCCCACACAGCCCACCGTACCCAAAAGAGGTTTGTTTCTAAAGGAAGATATATTTAAAACAGACATGGTGGTAAATGATATAAAAAACCAGATCTCTCTGATGTTTAAGACAGAAATAAGTAGGAGCACACCTTCCCTGTTAGATCCACCAGACAGATCCAAGCTTTGTCTGGCTTTACAAACAGCCTACAACAAGTGTCCCTCTGCCATCAGTCAGTCGTGTGATTGTTTACCCAACATGAGTGATCAAAATCTCAAGCTAACAATACAGAACCACTTTAAGGAATGTTCCATAGGTCTAGGTAAGTCCAGTGACAGCATTAGAAGGGAGAAGCTGAGGTGCAAGAAGTCACACGACATCCCTGAGGAGGTGGCATCATGCAGGTTATCTGGAATCGTATCAAATGCTACACTGACAAACCAGGTAAAGAAAAGAGGGGTCACTGCTTTGCAAAATGGAATCACTTTTGGTAGCTTGCAGTCCATAGAAGGGACAGACAGTGATTCAACCTCCGTATCTTCCGATCCTTCCAAACAGCCGGAAGTGAATGGCCAATACTGCAGAGAAAGAGCTTATTCTGCTTCGCCTGCTCACAGCCAAGTGAGCAGCATTTCAGCTGGCCTAGAGTCTGCTGTGTCTTCATCCCCAATTCTTCCAAGAGGCAAAAGGACCCGCCCATCTTCTCCAAGTTATGATAATACAGATGTTAATGTTGCTGAGGCCTGGTATGGGTCTGATGAATACTTAGCCCTCCCATCACACCTCAAACAGACTGAAGTATTAGCTTTAAAATTAGAAAACTTGACAAAACTTCTTCCTCAGAAACCTCAAGCAGAGGCCATTCAAAACATTGATGACTGGGAACTATCAGAAATGAATTCAGATTCTGAGCTTTACCCAACATATCAGATCAAAAAGAAGCACAAAAGGTTAGGTAGAGTTTCTCCAAGCTCTTCAAGTGACATCATCTCCTCAACAGGTGACAGCATTGAATCGGGCCCACTTAGTGACATTCTTTCAGACGAAGAGCTTTGTACATCCTCACCTAGCATTAAAAAATACTTAAACGACAGGCCACAAAACCCACCAGTGACTCAATCATCCGAAAGAAATGAAATACCTACCACAAATAAATCAGCTTTAATTCAGCAGCTGATGCAAGATATACAACACCAGGATAATTATGAAATTATATGGGAAAAAATGGAGGTAAGGAAGAAATTCACTGTGCATTTACATCTTTACCATGTTGTTTATGCTGTGCCTAGAGCAGAAAGCCAAGGATTGAGGGTGGATGGGCTTATTGGACTATTTTGAATGTGACAGTTCCACAACTGTTAGCATCATGCATTTCCACATCAATTTGCAAGGTATTTTATGGTATTTTATGCTAAAATATGCATTTGATGATGAAATACACATCTGTATGCATTTAGTACATGTTGTTTTATATGCATCTTGGTATCTCTTAAATGCCTAAATCTGCCATCACAGAATTCAGAGATGTGCACATCCAGAATGAAAATTGTGCTTCCATCTTCACATTAATCTGAGAGGTACACATTGGATCAGTTCACTTCCAAATGGGACCAGGCAAAAACCCCAAGCATTCCTATTGGTGGGGGAAGAACCAACAAAAAACTGGGATGAAACAGCCCAGTTAACTTCAGCTGTGCTGGCTGTCCCATGTGCCAAGTGCAGCAGGTGCTGTGCGAGAAAGTCAGATAACTTGCTTTACCAACACATACAAGACGTAACTGGAATGTGGGAGGCACTCTGTGCAAGAAGCTGTGCCAGCAATCTGTGAACTGTATGCTGCTAAAATACATTGGTTGTAAATGATACGATTTCATGAGTATTTAGATACTTAGGGCTTATCCAGAGTTGCATTTCAGATAGATCCCTAACTCACCTTTTTCTAAAGTCGTACAGCATGGCAAATTATACATTGATGGGCCATTGCAAATGCCCACCTCTTGATTAAATGAAAAGTTGGGGTGTGTTTTGTTCTCTTTTGCATCTGATGCTGCATCAAATGTATTTTATAGACATGGCAGTGTGGCTCCCTCTTGAGGCCTACTGTTGCCATCACAGCTCTTGCAGAGTTGTGCTCATTTCCTAAAAGTCAGCTAAAGGTCTATAAACAGCACTTGTGTGGTAAAAAGTATTAACACCACATGGATTTCAACAGTGATCAGTGCATACTCAATGAAGTCATGGGAAGCCTCTTCTTGCTAGGAAATCTTAGGCAGAATGCAGTATTAGGTTTTACACTGAAAATGAACTCAGGAAATAAAGTTAGATTTGGAAAATAGTTTTAACTTTCTTGTTGTTTGAATTCCAGCCATACACCTTAAATGGCAGCCATGCCAAACCCTAAACTGCTGTAGTTCTCTTACGAATTCCAGGCTTCCAGTTTTTATGAAATTATCATTATATGTATACACCCTTCTTCCTCTAAGGGACTTGCTCAACCACCAATCAATGAGGACATAAGAAAAGCCATGTTGGATCAACACAGTTGTCCATCCAGTCCAGCACTCCATTCACATGGTGGCAAAGCAGCTGTCCACAGGATCCTTCAAGCAGGATGGGTACAAGACCTCTTCCTGCCCAAGCACCTCAGCAGTTGTTGTTTCTGGGCATGCCAACTCTTATAACAGAGGTAGCATGTAGCCAGCAAGGCTAGTAGCCACAGATAGCCTCCTTCTCCATGAATTTGTCCAATCCTCCTTTAAAACTCTCTAAATTGGTAGCCATCACCACTTCCCATGGCAGCAAATTCCATAATTTTACAATATGCTGTGTGAAGAAGCACTTCCCTTTATTGGTCTTAAGCCTTCTGCTAAACCGTTCCAGGTTTTCGTATTATGGGAGAGGGAGAGAAATGTCTCCACTTCGTGCACACCATGCATAATTTCAAACACCTCTTTAACGTCTCTCCAATCCCTCCTACCACCTACCCACCAACATGAGTACAGGGAGGTGTTGGCTGAGTGGGAGGGGGAAGCCATTGTTCTTCTCTGGCTTGGAGAAGCATCTGAGTCAGAAAAGAATGCAGGGATCAGTGCTTCAATGTTTGCTTCAACTTCTTCTGAGTACCCTGAGTTCCCAAGACTTGTTTTTCTGAACCTGGTAATACAGGCATAACTGCTCTATACTTCTTCTGAAAAAGAGGAAACCTCGCCTGACAGTAGCTGATTCATATGATGAACAGAGACTCCTGGCCCTTCTGCTGCCATACACAGGGAAACCGGTTCTGGAGAGGGAAGTGCATCCCCAAATGCGTGTTGGAAGGAGCAATCACTGCACAATCACTGTGATTCTGAACAGTCACTGTTTAATTACCTCAGGCTTCTCACATCACCAAATGTCAGCTCTCAAATAATACAATTCAGCAGAGACAATTCGCATTTGATGACATTTGAAAGTCATCAAATGCTGAATAAGTGATAAGAGAGCAGTTGACATACACGACATACAAACGTCCCTAATCCTGAGCACTCACAACTAAATCATAGAACAAATTAATTCCTTGTCCCAAGTACTGGCTTAGCAGCACTACATTAAAATCCCAGTCCTTCCTGTGTGAACCAGCGGATGGAGGTTCCAAATATCAAAAGGTACCATCAAGATGGACTGCACATCTGTCTCCAGGAGATGTGGAAGCCCCTCTCCACTATGACGCAGACACATGCATGCATTAACCAAGACAAAGTAATGAGAATCCCAGGGTAGAATTAAATCCTCTGCATTGGCAATGCATCTATTGCAGAGAACTGTGCACAAGAATGCTTTGTAGTCAGGGAAATCACCTGCAAGACTTCACTTACATTGAAAAGGAGAGGCAATTGCTTCTGGGGAGCTTGTAATAGTTTAAGCATAGGTACAAGGAAAAGCCTAGAGGCAGAAGAGAAAAACAGATACACTAAACAGGATGTGTATGCAGTTGTTTCAGCTTCAGGTACCCTTCTGCAACTCAGTCTATAGCAGTCCACATAACATAATATGTATGTCAGCCTCTTATATATACTTATTAATCATCTTATGTGTAAGAGTGGGCATGGGATACCAATTTTTAAACAAATGCCAGCAGGACTTTAATGTTTAGTGTGTTTACTGATGTGGCATATTTCGGATGCAGTGAGAATCATCTGTCATCATCTGTCAGCTGCTCGTACACGCTGGCCCAGAAGCAGCCAAGGCTGAACTGATGCTGGGTGGAACAGCGTAATTCCTGGAAGAATGCTAAGAACACATTTAAAATCCTTCTGGTGAGACTGCGCTGTAGCATGATCAGGCCTCCAGATGGTGCTGTTTACTTAGACAATATGATTTAAAACCTGAACAATGTTATCTATCCTCCAACAGTAATTTTTAGTGTCAGGCTTTCAGTATTCAAAATAATTTTCAATTTCTACAGTTGTTTTCTTTTGAATAGTTCCATAAAATTTTATAGATGCCATCCAAAAAACAGTGGTCTTATAGCAATTCATGCTTTCTACTAGAAAATAGACCTCCTCTCCCTGTGACAGAAATAGCCACTGCAATATTTCTTTGCTTGTATGCCTTTCTAGCTAGGTTTCTCCTAACCTTGGATTTTTTTTACTAGAAGCACATCTGGCTGTGATAGTAGTAGTATAAATTCTGCTAATAATGGCAGGGGAATTTTGCATTATTTTAACAAATGAATATGACTTAGCATTCTGCCTTTCCATCATCTGAGCATTGTGCATGTTTTCATCTCACAGTTCAATAACACAGTTTAAATATTTCTTCATTCTGTAGTTTGTCGTTCCCCCACCATATGAATGGACACAAAGAAATCTTGAATACTAGTGTTATGAAACTTTTAAGTAGGATTATGCAGTGTAATATTTACAAATTGAATCTAGGTTCCAAATTATATATTGAATAGAGTTGCAAATGTATTTATAGGTTGAATCAAGTTCCAAATTGTCCTTTTATTATAAAATCATTTTGTGAGATGCCTGGGTGATGCAGATGCTGGCGAACTTAGATTCAATGGTGCTGCTGTACCATCTCCTGCTTGTGGGATCCCATGGGTAACTGTGCTGGACTAGATGTACCCTTGGACTGATCCAGCTTGTGTTCTTCTTATGTTCTTCGAGTTACACTTTCATTTTCCCACATTATGAATTGCATCTCCTCATCACATGCAGCCTCCACTTCCCAACCCTGCCTAGCTAGAGCACTGGAAAGCAGCTTTTGGGTTTCATTATCTGCTCTGGATAGGGAATTGTGCACAGAAATAGCTGTTGTAATTTCTGCAGATAGTGTTGTAAAATGAGCTGCAGTTGCCCTGGCCAGCAGCAGGGGAAGAAGAGGGAGGGAATTAGTCTCCCTCCCTCACTTTCCCCTCCCATGAGTGGATTGAAGGAACTTGGCTGGAACTCCAGGTGAATGACCAGCAGCCCGAGGATTGGCTATGGGTCCTCATCCATAAGGTGTATGCAAGAAATCAGTTCATGCTGGGAGGAGTGATCTTCCCTCCACTGCCAGCCTGTTTGGTGGGGCAGAAAAGGAAGAGAAATAAAGAAAGAAAGGCAGGTGCCAGAAAGAAGCAGAGAAAAAGAAAGGACAGCACAGTCCTTAGTAGAAAAAAAGCTTCCCTGGCTTTCTGCAGTTCCTGGACAGAGCATGTGCTTTATATGTGGAGGGTCCCAGGTTTCCCTGGTGAGGGTCCCAAGGAAATGTTGCGCTCTCATACCCTGGAGACAATGTGCACAGTACTGAATTAGATGGAATATGGTCCAACTCACTATATGGTGACTCTATATGTCCCTATTATATTTTTTAGATGACTGTATCTGTACAGTCTGACTGCTGCACACATACACATGCGGATCAAGGGCATCATCTGTGCTTTTGCCAAAGCAATAACTTACCTCTGGATGCTCAGCCCAGTGTGTGCTCTTTCCTTTGTGCTTCCATTGATCTCTGTTTATTATTTGTATAAAATTTATATCACACCATTTGGCTACAAGGTAATTTATAACATAATTAAAAACAAATAAAAATGTGTACAATAGAATCACAATAAATATGGAAGAACTGATTTAAAATAAAATCAGAGCAGCAAACTAAATATGTAAAGATTAGTACTCCATAGCTACTATGGGGAATTAAAACTATGGATTAAGCTTGGAATGAGGCTAAACGTAACCTTTTTACTGCTATCAAGACTTGGGAGCAGTTTGCCACCAAATTTCAGTGGCAAAAGAGTGATGCTTTTTTTCCCCTGCTCCCAGTGGAAGCACCAGTAGGCAGAAATATCCCTTGCCACAATTGCTCCCCGATTGGCCCTAAGGCTATAAGGGAAACTGCTAAGCAAGCCCCCTAACAAAGGGCATAAGCTGTGATTTGGAAGGCAAAAAGACACTGGGGCAAGAGTTCAGATGTCCATTGTATGAGTGTGTAGATGCATGTGGGGACGTGTTCTTGAAATAACCTGGTCCCAAGCCATTTAGGACATTTTGATATTGTGACCAGAACAAATTTGAAGCTAGCATAACTAGGATAATACTGAAATACTAGTCTGAAGTGAAGTAGATACAAACCAATATCCTGGCTGCTCCATTTTGCACTTGAAGCTGTAACATTTGATGATGGTTTGGATTTACAAAATCATGGAGTGGATTGGGGAGGAGAACATGGATGGAGTAATATCATTCTGTATAAGGCTAGCCAGTGCTTTTTTTTGTAAAAATAAATAAATAAATAAAGGTGCCGGAACTCACGTCGCCGGCAGTAAGCGCGCGACCACACACACTGATCCCAAGCTGAGCAGCGTCCCAAGCCGAGAGCAGGGCCCTCACTATCTCACTATCAGATAGCAGACACAAAAGCAGCCTGCAGGCACTATGTTAATGATGCTTCCTGCTGATCTGCTATGATTCAAAATCACTTTGTAAAATCTATTGGAAAAAAATGTGCTGGAACGCTGTTCCGATGTGTTCTATGACAAAAAAAGCCCTGAGGCTAGCTAAAAAGTTAGGATTTTCAGAGCTGGAAGTGATTTCCCTTGGTCATACCAGGAATCTGTAGTTATAAGAGCCTTAACAGATAACTCCAACTTAAATACTTCCATTAAAGGAAAGCCCACCAACTTCTGAACTTTTCAACTGAAGTTACACTCTAAATTTACATTAATTCTAATGAAATAATCTTTAAATTACCACTGAACTTAAAACTGCTTTATTTGGCTGGACTGAGCCAATAATTTGTTTAGCATGTTAATATATGAATTTGTTGGGAGTAAGAAGGATGGTGGGCTTGGTCAACTGTTCCCATGGACTGTTGGCTGCATTCCAGATGATGATTCAAAATTGGAAAGTGAAGCATATTTCAGTGAGATTGGGGAACATGAATAAGCTCAAAATTCTGAGGTGGAGGAGATTATCACAAGGCCAGGTGCTTCACCAAGCCAGGCAGTTCCAGGAATGGCCAAGAGGGACAGCTACTGGGTGGGCTCCCTGAGGAGGAGCAATTTTCAGATGCAGAACACCCCTCCTGCCCTGGGGCTGTGCTTGACCCTGTGGTGAGGCATCAGCAGAGACAGGAGGCCCAGCTGAATGAGCAGTGCTCACCTTGAGTGAATCCCTTACAGAAGGTTGGTCCCAGGCATATTAAGAAGGAGAGTTCCTGGAGGCAGACACTAAATTGGGTTCAACAAACCACTCAGATCCATCCATAAAGAAATTTGCAAGGAAAATGATCTGCGGCTGGTGATTACTTGAAGAAGGAACCTTGGCTCACAACAGAATTAGTCCTACCAAGGAAAGTGAAGCAAGCAATCAGTAATATCAGAGATGACAACATAGATCTTAGGCTTGATGGCATGTGGCCATCAAGATACTGGATGGGATTGCTGGATGTGGGTCTTTAGACTTACAGAGTACTTTCTGGAGTTGTGGAATCCAATTGAGACATTGTTTTATAGGCTTGTTTTTCAGCAAAAAGATCACACTTTCAAGACTGGGATTATTTAATATCACTTATCAAAGCTATTCATGCTATCTTGTTCTATGTAATGATGCAAATACTTTGTATGGCGATCATGTTGATACTTGATACAATATCAAGGCAATTATTTTTTTAACTACCAATAGCATATGTCACGTGTGCTACTTCTACACTGTACCTAATTAGAAATATTTATCCTGAGATGTGCTAGCCAGTGAAAAATCTATATAAAACAGAACAAGAATTTCTGAGAGTCAAATATGTAAGCAACTTGGGCTCCCTTGTATTTGCACTATTCCTTCCAAATCACTGGTGGTGTTGCTTTGTCCCTGCCATTAGAAAAATGAAATACAGGATTCCTACATTAGAAAAATGAAATAAAGTTTTTGCAGGCTTATGACAAGCACTGTTGTGAGTAGTGTTCCCAGAAAGACTATCATGGCAAGGAAGACACCAACCCAGCTCTGTATGGCAGCCAGAGAGGAAACAGCTGCAGAAAGCTTAGTTGGTCCTTTGCCAGAAAGAACATCTATAAGGACTTTGAAACTATAAACTGGTTTTTGTCCTTTCTCCCCTCCTCCCCTCAACCCCCTTTCCTTGTGTGTCTTGACTTCTAAATTGCAAGCCTGAGAGAAGGGGCTATCATATTATTACTCTGTGTAAGGCTCTCCGGGAAGTTTCTGAAGCTGATGAATGCGATAAAAATACCATAAATAAATATATTTCTGTATTATTGTTTATTTATATTTATTGTAAGCTGTCCTGAGACAATTGAATTGTTTAGGATGGGATAAAAATATTCTAAATAAATAAATACGCTGGGCAGGTTCACAAGGCACATGACTCCATGTTGAGATCATACCTTTATGGCTCTGTTGTGTGACCTGGACCCAGTTCCACAATTCCTCTGTAGTAGGATTCGTTTTCTGAAACCACAGAGAGAATCAATGGTCTCTTCTAAGATTGTCATGCCTCACCATGCCTTCTCTGGTTGTCCAGATCTAGGATTACTGTTTTACCATTGCTGGTGTGGAAACACTATAGAGTCCCCTGGCAAGAGCAGCTGTGGCAGTGGCCACTTCTAAACGTTGATCTCGACTGCACTCAGGTCCCTAGCATCAAACATATCATTGCTCACTTAGTACCACTGACCAAGCAATGTGTCCATTTCCCTGTTTACTTTTTGACAGCATGAAAATACCCAGAGGGAGAAAGGGGAATTCATGGCAAAACTGTATTATTTATTAAAAAATTTCTGTGGATGATGGAATGACTGGGAAGCACCATAGACAGGCAGCTACACTCAGGAGAGGGGACCTGCCTCAGGACTGCAGTGGACCAATCAGGTGGAGGCTGCTTTGGCCAGGCACAGGAATAAGGAATTTTGCTTCTGGGGCTTGCCAGGATGCATGATGAGGCCAGGAGGATGGAATGGGGAATGTACAAACTGCCTTGGTAACCACGGTATCACCTGACCAAAAATCCACACCCTGTGGAAACAGCTCAGGGTTATTTGCCATGTCATGTGAACACAACCACGGTATAAAAGGGCCACACTAGTACCCTCAGTTATCTCAATATACTCTATGGCCAGCCTTTCCCCATATTTATCTTCAAAAGCCAATACATTATTTTAGCAAAGCTGCTTGATACAAAGCAGTACCATAACAAAAACATGAAAACAACATGATGTCAGCTCAAGGCTTTTGAGGGTTTTGGGGTAAGGTACGCTCAGCGAACCCCTTCTTTTGGTGAGTCTACATTCTCACCTCCATATCTTCCAGATATATTATTCCTTATTCTCTCCCTCAATATTAATTTTATGCATTTATTTGGTATGCATCCTGCCTTCTACTCCCAAAATCACATTCCAGGTGGTTAACAATCACAAATAGATTCACTCAAACATCAAAGGTCCTTGAACATAGTGGTCCTGTCCTCACCTGCTGGTGGAAGAACAGCAAAGAGGGAGCAAACTCAGCCTCCCTTGACAGAGAGGTCCACACCCTGGGAGAGGTCACTGAAAAGCCCCCCTTGCCCATGGCCAAATATACCTCTGCAGGCACTGGCATCTAAAGAAGCACCTCTCCTGCAGCCTGGGGCAGCTTATATGAGAGGAGACCTTTCAGGAAGCCTGTCCTTGTCCCAAGCCACATGCATAGTTGACAGATATAGGACAGTGAACAAGGAGGCAGTGGCATCTGTTCCTCCTCACCACCACCATTCTCTAGAGTGAGTGGCAGGTAAGCAAGGAGGTTGCAGCAGAAGAGATGGGGAACAAATCCAGGGACTCTTGAAGTGGGCCTCTGCTGGGCTGTGCGTCCTCGGCAGATGCCCACCATGTGCATCCTTGACACCAGCCCCCAAACAATTCATTTACTAGATTATATTTTTACTAACAACCATGTCTTCTTTCTCTTTCCTTCCTTTTGTTATGAAAGGGGTTTGTCAGCAAGCTGGACGAATTCATTCTCTGGTTAAATGAAGCAATGGAAACAACAGAGAACTGGACTCCACCTAAGGCAGAAACAGACAGCCTTAAACTCTACCTGGAAACACATTTGGTAGGACGAGATTGTACTGCGAAGTCAATAATGAAATGTCTGGCTTGTCTGGCTCTCTATTTTATTTTTATTTATTTCTAGAATGGATCATCTTAAAGAACTACATAACATAGACTTGATGATTGCATTAACTGAAAAGGCCAATTCATGTTCTGAAAAAAAACCAGATTCTGTTAAAAGGGGCTGTGGAGCAAATGCTATACCTCAGTTTAGGAGCCAGAAAGATGTTGTGATTATTATGATTATCTTCCAGAATGTCACTACAGAAAGTAATAGGTTTTCTACCATTAGCTGTAAAATTTGAACAAGGGCTCTTATAATATTAATGAAGAACTCATTATCAAATAACACTGCATTTTCTGCATTTTAAAACTGCCATTGGATCATTTATACCATTATTTGAAACATACATGATGCATATTTTTACAATGTGCTGTGGGCTGCCATCATTGATCTTATTGGACTGAAAGGAGCATTCCATTCATGAAGAAGCTTTGGAATCCATTGCAGGCAAGAATACAGATGGACTGGGGAATTGAAAGATGTGTTTCATTCACTCCTTCTCTGGCTTGATTCATTCATTTTATGTGCATCCTGTCTTTCTATCAAAACAATGGCACTCAAGTTGGATTAGACACATAATTAAAACTGATGAAAAAATCATAACAATTACAGAAATAATAATACACTATCCAGCCCATAATTTACAGACCTTTTAAAATAAATCTGTTTTAAATAAAAAAAATTCTGCCAGCAGAATGGCAGCCAGAGAAGGAGCAAACCTTATCCTCCCTTAGGGCGGAGTTCAATAGCCTTGGAGTAGCCACTCTTGGCTCATCACTAGGGTAGAAAGGGTCTCTCCTGAAGATCTTAAGGACTAGGCAGACTTGTAGTATTTTGGTGAGCCTGCTTCAAAGCCACATGGGGCTTTACAGCTTAAAACTATCACTTGGAATTCTGCCTGAAAACATGCAGGTAGCCAGTGAAGCTGTAACAAGGAAATAACTGGCCCAGTTGACAGCATTCTGGACCAATTCAGTATCCTGGACAGTCGTGCCAGTTAAGGCACGCTTGGCTGGATCAGACCAGCCAGATTAGCATTTAAGTCTGTAATTGCTATCCTGTCTTTGCTCACTTTTTGCAGAGATTCTATATGACATAACTGCTTACCCAGTGCTTTCCAAAGCTTTCTGTGTTACCCAGTCTTTTTTTTTTTTTTTGGTTAAGAATCCATTTGTAACACTGTATAGAATTTTAAAAATTAAAAATGTAGTTCATGATTTTTTTCTGAATTTTCCTTTAATATATATTTCCATTCCCATATAGGCAGGGATGTCCTTTCCTCCTTTTCTTTTTTATATATCCATAGTCAAATAAGACTAATTTGCTATAAAATCAATAAAAGAAAGCAGTGGTTGGGTCCAGTCTTAGTCAAAACCACTGAAGTGAAGGTCCCAACAATTAAACAACAATTTAATACCAATAACTAAAGCACATATGTCCCCAGCAGGAACAAGACGATGTGTAGGGGCTAGACAGATAGACTGGTTGGAAGATTCAGTCTGCTGGTCTTTTTCCTTCTTGATTGCAGCTGCCACCTGCTGTTCACAACTTGTCTTTTGTCCATTATCGATCGGCGTAATTTTAGCTGTATCATTCCATAGGTAATCTACCTCAAGATGGTGATGCATTTCTGAGCATTCATAGTGGTAGCATAGCTTTGGAGCAGAAGAATAACTTCCAGGGACAGGGGGAGAGACTTGTAGCAGAGTCAGAATCTCCAAGTTCTGCCTGAACCTTATTTGCTCCGTATGCAGTATATGCAACCATTGCATCTCCATAGTGCATGTACATTGCAATGGGACACAATGTGAATTGGCTAATTCAGATGAAAATGTTAAAAAAATCCACTTGGAAATTTGGAAAGCAGAGAATTAAAATGCCCTCTTGAAAATATGAAAAGCAGAGAATTTTTATTTTCATCAAATAAGTCAAAAGATGAATAGAAGAAACCAGTTAAACCTATAATTTTCAGAATTTCAAATGTTTGTGTGTGGTGATAGTTGTGTTTACTGTTGGTCTGTAGAGGACTTCTTTATCCACATGAGTTTCTGAATGCACAGCAAGGTATTGTTGAAATATGTTATTCAGTGTGGGGAACTGCTGGTTAAAAGAGAGCCCATCTTGGTATTTAATGCTGCATTCCAATACACATTTAGCCATGATCAAGTCCTATCAAACTTCATGGGACTAATACCTTCATGGAACTTGCATTCATAGGATTGCACCATAAAGCTGCCTGGGGCACAGTGGTTTTCCCATATAATCAGGTCTACATTATGGTGTAGGAAAATACTCATGATTTCTTACTTTTAAAATATTATGTAATTACATATTATACAGTATTATGTAGATTTGTCATTTGAAATGTCATGTGTCCAAACAATGCATTTTTTGGGTACATGTAATACACACTTTCTGTCCCTCCCTTTTAGAAATATGAGTTTCTGTCCCTTCCTTTTAGAGACATCAGTGATTCAGGCTGCTATGTACAGTATCGTAAGAATGCATTAATGTACAGTAAGAATGCAACCCTATCCATGACTAACTAGAAACAAGCCATGCTGTTAGGAATACTGGGAGTTGTTGTGGGGGGGAGTGTCTTTCCGAAAATGGGTAGCATTGTACTTTAAGTACAATCTACTTCATGTCCCACTTAAATTACTTTAAGCCCCACTGAAGTCAGTACGGCTGGGTTCAGAACAGACACACATAGGATCGCCCTGTAAGTTATTTAAAGGGTGGCTTATTTGTAATTGGAAAATAGAACTAGACCTTGATTCCTATTAATTAGAATGTCAACTTTTCATTTGGTATTGGTCTGATAGAAACACTAATCTGTGTTTAAACAGAAGTCTATAAAATTAAGTTCCCATTAACAGCAGTGCCAAAATTATCTTGATAAAGAAGTTGCATTTTGTAAGAAGCTGTGGGGATGAAGGTCAGATACCCCAGCTCGTCACATAGCTTCTTACTCCTAGACCGTACCTTCACATGCACCATTTAGCTAGGATGATCTTGTGTGAAAAAGGCTCTCTTGTGTGTATCTGGTAGGAATGTATTACTCAAACAAAAGGGGTGGATGTGTAAGTTCTCCTGCACACACTTTCTTAATAATCAGATGGGAGAAGGGAGGGTTCAATAGTTCAATAGAATATATATTCATGTCTGCACAAAAAAGCTGTATTTATGACTGTATCCTTTACACACAAACATGCAACATTATAAGAAGACTTAAAAAAACACTTATAGTAGATTCTATTCGACGTATTGTGGCCTTGCCTTAGTAGCAAATCACTTCTGCTTGTTCAGTTTTGGACACTGATTTCACTGATGCCTCCTGTCTATTTAATGCCCTCTTCCAGAGGGTTACTGGCCCTACTGAATAGAACAGGATACGGCAAGGGCTGGGGCAAAAACAGAATGCCCCAACTTGCAAAAGCAGAAACACTTTCTGTCAAGGCAAAACCGCCTCTGGAGATACGCCGCTCTTCATAAACACCCATTGAGATATGCAGACTTGCAACTTACAGTTTTTGTTTTAAATTCTGTATGTTTTAATTGCCCTTGAGGTTTTTGGAGAAAGGAGTCAAAGGAAATTTAAACTATTCTGTTTTTATCAAGAATATTTTATATATAAACAATAGCTTCATTCCTGTTATTTGCCAAGACAAAAAGGTTATAATTAACTTCTATGTGGTATGGTAGTTAGAGAGCTGGACTGGGGCCTCGGAGATGTTGGTTCTAGTCCCCACTCAGTGGTTGAGTTTGGGCCAGTCACTCACCCTCAGCCTAACAAGCTGCACAGAGTTATTGTTATGAAGATAAAATGAAGCTTTGCAAACTTCCTTGGCTTCCTTACAAGAGGAAGAAATAGGAAATACAAATGCAGTGTAATAATAATAGCAATACTCCCTATATCTGCTTTATAGATATGTATTATGTAATTAAATTACTAGGGATGTATAAGGAATCCATTTTGGAGTTTGGGAATAAAATACTCAATTCCTGTAGGAACTTGTACATCAGGGAGTGGGCTAAAATCCTGCTCTTCTATCACATGTTCTATCACAGGCTGAAATATTTTGATAGGGTTTCTTGAGCTTTTCCTGAGTGTGCAGATTGGCTGTGTGTTGAGATGACCTCACATGCACACATATTTATTTATTTATTTATTTATTAAAACATTTTTATGCCGCCCCATTCGCCGAAGCCTCGGGGCGGCTTACAACAATAAATAAAAGTAATTATAAATTACAATAAATATAAACATTAAAAATCCAAAAAATACAATATAAAATAAGCCGCCCTGGCCAGATAAAATTCAGTAGTATTAACATTTAAAATGCCGCTTAAATAAAAAGGTCTTCGCCTGGCGCCGAAAAGCAAGTAACGACGGTGCCAGGCGGACCTCTCTGGGGAGCGCATTCCATAACTTAGGCGCCACCACTGAGAAAGCCCTCCTCCGAGTACCCACCCTCCTAATTTCTTTCACGGAGGGTTCCCGGAGAAGGGCCTCTCCCGCTGATCTCAAGGGGCGGCTGGGCATATATGGATGTAAGCACTCCTTCAGGTAACCAGGACCCAAGCCGTTTAGGGCTTTATAGGTCATTACCAACACCTTGAATTGGGCCCGGACTTCAATGGGAAGCCAGTGAAGCTGACGGAGAACTGGAGTCATGTGACCATAACGCCCAGTCCCATCAGCAGCCTGGCAGCTCTATTTTGAACCAACTGAAGTGTCTGGACTGTCTTCAAGGGTAGCCCCATGTAGAGCGCGTTACAGAAGTCAAGTTGGGAAGTCACCAGTGCCTGTGTCACTGTCGCCAGGCAGTCGTACTCCAGATAGGGGCGCAGCTGATGAATCAGCCGAAGCTGGAGGAAAGCGCTCCTCGCCGCTGCTGTTACCTGAGCTTCCAGTGAAAGCTCCGGGTCAAGAA